TGGTATTACTTATAATAATTTTTCAACTTCTGCTGCATTGTTTTTGAACAAAAAAATCGTATTCAAACCGAATAGGGATTAGCAGGGATTAGCCAAAAAGATTGCATCTGGAATCGGGGCATTAAAACGTGTGAGACAATTTGTGCCTACCACTACTCTGATAGCGATATACAATTCACTAATAMAACCTCATTTCGACTATTGTTGTGTTGTATGGGGCAATTGMGRTAAAACTCYTGCTACCAAATTGCAAAAGCTCCAAAATCGCGCTGCAAGGGTCTTGACCTTTTCGAGCTATGATTCTAATGCTGACTGCCTTATCGAGTTATCGAACAGCTCGGCTGGAAAAAACTTGCAGACCAACAGAAATTTCACACAGGCGTGATGGTCTTTAAATCTATTAATGGACTGGCCCCTGCATATTTGGGATCTTTAATTTGTTCAATTAATAAACGGATACTGAAACTTACAATCTAAGAGACTCTGAGAACAAACTTGCTGTTCCARAGCCACGCACAAACTTTCTCAAGGACAGTTTCAGTTATAAAGGTGCTACACTTTGGATTGCGGCAGGCGRAAACGCTGCAAGATTTTAAAAACGGATTGTCTCAGAAGTAGCACGGCTCTCTTGTAAAACAGGCAAATTTGTTATATAGTTTTAGTTTTTATTGTAATTTATAATTAATGTATATTATAATTAGTATAGTTAGTATTTTTAATATTTTTAAAGTCCTGAATGAGACTACCGTGGTTAAATAAAGTTATTCTATTCTATTCTAAAGTAATTCTAATCCAGTGTTCTCCCTGCATGAAAGAGAATACCAGCCCCACTCCCCGGGAGTATACATTGTCGTAACCCTATTGAGGAAATGACGTACATAGCTTCAGTTTCGATTCCGGTTGACTACAGTTGACTAATTGACTTGTTTGGAGCGAAAAGTCGAAACACAGTTTGTGGTTTTTGATTTTGAAATTTCACACTAACAAGATCCTCAAATTTTAGCTCAACTACGAAATCCTTATTTTAGGATATCAATCATTAAATGCAATTGGAGCTGTTGGAGTGCGACGCTGATTCTGACGCGGTAAGTTAAGAAATCACATCAATTCCTCGTGACCTTGTCTCGAATACTAATTATTCATAATAGTACTGAAATATAACATTCATATCCTTTTAAAGCATTCAAAACTACGTATATTTGTGATGATTAGAGTTCTTTTTGAGCGTGTAGTTAACGAATTATTTGCCATTGAATATGGGTGATATCTGCATGGTAAACAATGTAGGATGCGGATGCTACTACAAGGATCTGAGAAGGAAGGAAAATCAAATACTTTCGAGAATCTTTATAGATTAACAACAACTTATACAATCTTGTACCCTGAGTCTTCGTTTTCTTGGCCTGCGCCAACTGATTGGTTCTTGAAATAGAAACAAATGCTAACGGAAGTGGAATAATTTACAACAATAACTACATAGGACTGAACATTTCGAGTTTTTTATCTCGATCACAGAATACCGGTCATCGCATATTGAGCGTGCACCGATTTCCCGATCACTGGGGATCACGATCATTTACGGACGAGAAAAAAACCATCACAAAGCAAAAAAGACCACATATTTGCACTCAGAAAGCATTAAAGTATATTTCTAAACTACAAAACGAGAATATAAACCCCCAAAATAACCCAAATATCGATGTTGAAAGTGACTTAATTTTGAAGAGATTTCAAGGGTTTTCGTCCGATAACTGCCATAGGAGCCCTGGGGCCGTCCTCTCTTCTCAATAGTCTTTTAAGCCTGTGGAATGATTTCTGTTCGTATGTCGGCTATGTGAGCAATTTGATGGCAAATTTTCGAAATGAAATTCGATTTTCTAACTAGTATGCCGAAAATCCTTGAAGTTTTGAGCTATAATGAAACCAAAACTTCAAAAATATCATAATTTGTCTGCACAAATGTATTTTCTACAATTTTCTACAAATGAACACAAGAAAGATAAATGACTCGGAAGAGAACGATCATATTTTTTTTGATTGATATTTCATGCCTTCATAAACTTTCATATTGTTCCAAGTTGNAATAAACGCCGCAGCTAGATCGTGAAAAATGAAATAAACGCCGCGGCGTCTATTCGAGTAAATACGGTATACTAAAATCAGATGTACTATGCTGACTAAAATCAAATAATATATTCTATAATCAGTTACAATTTCATTTTTGTATTTTTGTATCATCTAATTCTCAGCTAATCGTCTTTCTATTTAAGGTAATGTTTATCAGTTAGAATCGAGCATTAAAGACCTCAGCAAATCAAAACAACACCTAGAGAAGAGCATACAATGCTACGAGAAATTGTTTGATGATTTAAAAGACAATGACCAACTCAAGGTTTCAATTGTCGATACATTCATCAAAACCTACAAAATCCTCAGCCAAGTCTACATCAAAACAAGACAAAGTGAAAAAGCTCTCTTAGTATGTGAACATGGGCGAGCACGTGCTTTGAGAGATCTCTTGTCCCTTAAATACAACACAACTGAGAAAGCAGAAACAAAAGCACTAGAACTTGCAGATGTCAAGACAATTTCCTCTCATCGTGAAGGCTGCATTCTTTTTTACAATCTTCATTTGAACAAAGTTACTTATCATAGCTGGGTCATATCATACCGAAATCCATCTTCCTTCTTTTACGATGAAATAGAAAACCGCGAAGCTTTGGCAACAATTTTGTCGAGCCTATCTGATGATGAAAGAAAAACTACCGAAGCGGGATATTTTCAATATCTCGTTGACAACTGTTTCCAGCAGTTGAATGTTAGAGAAGGAAAAGGAATGAAATGCGAAGACAGATCAATGAASTCACTAGMGCATGAARACCTGGAGYGTGCACCCTCGACAAACTCCTCGCAGCTTAGTGAAAATGCTCTCAAAGCTTTTCAAAAGGTTGACAGATGCATTCCCGACGAAGAAGACGATRAMATGGAGCCTCTTGATATGCTTTTCTATAGACTAGTTTCCCCAGTACTGGACCAGCTGACCCACGACGAGGTGATTATCATCCCTGACGGTTATCTTTTCATGGTGCCATTCGCTGCTCTTCAAGATCCAACAACCGGCAAGTTTTTATCGGAAATCAAACGTATTCGACTGGTTCCTTCTCTGACGACGCTGAAAATTCTACAAGAATCCTCGCATGACATGTATTGCAGGGTAAGGACAAACAACCTATGCATCTCATTAAAAAGGTTTCTAGAGAAAATACGAGAAACAAAATACCCCAACGTGTCTATTGATGTTATTTAAATTTAGCCACGTTTTCTCGTTATTCCATTTGAACAAGCACTAAACGAGACACGTGTCATAAAAACGGGAAACAAATTAACGCCACTTGAACATGCTGTACAGCATAAAAATGTTTCGAGAAGTTGAATTAAGTGTTTTTGTATCTCGTA